TCTGCACCTGGCTGTATGTTAAAACAGGATTAAAGAACCCCTTTGAAACAGATCTGGCAAGGGGTGGGGTCAACAGATTGAGACATGCAGCAGATCAGGGGGGTCCACACATAGCCTTTGTTTTTTGTGTGCCGCCCCAGCTGTTTTAAGCACTTTATATAGGGTTCCCATGTTTTGAAAAGTAATAATAATTTTTATTTATACCCTGCCCTCCCCAGCCAAGGCTGGGCTCAGGGTGGCTAACAAGCAATAATAAAAATAAGTTGAATGAATACAACTTAAAAACAAAATTAAAATACAACATTAAAATATTGAAACATTAAAATATTAAAATGTAGCCTCATCGCAGGAGGAGAAAGGAAAAGAAAAAAGAAAGAGGGGGAGGGAATCAAACTGGCTCCAAGCCAGGCCAGACGGAACAACTCTGTCTTACAGGCCCTGCAGAAAGAAATCATATCCTACAGGACCCTGGTCTCATGAGGCAGAGCATTCCACCAGGCTGGAGCTAGAGTTGAAAAGGCCCTGGCTCTGGTTGAAGCTAATCTAACTTCCTTAGGGCCAGGACCACTAGGGTGCTGCTATTTATGGACCTTGAGGCTCTCCGTGGGGCATACCGGGAGAGGTGGTCCCGTAGGTACGAAGGGTCCTGGGCCGTGAAGGGATTTAAAGGTCAAAAGCAGCACCTTAAATCTGACCCACCGGAAGTTGTTGAGCTTTCTGAATGAAACCCCAAAATTGTTGAGTTCTGTTGAGTTCCCCCCAGGAAAGTCCGGATGTTTGGCTGCCCTACTTTAGAGCTTGTGTGTTTTTGTTACCGATTAAATAAATAAATAAACCACGTCACTTCATCCACTTTCTTCTCTGGCCCCGCTCACCATAGACATGCGGCCCCTGTAACCCTGCCCATGAAAAAATGTGGTTCTTGAGCTGAAAAGAGCTTTCCCACCCCTGTTCTACAGTTTGCGGAATACTATAAACCTCTGCCAAGCCCTCGCCCCATTGTCTTTTCCCCTCTTTTTTTGTAAATACCATTTTGACAAAAGAAGCAAAAAATCAGATGTCCCCTTTTCCACTTGTGAAACTAGTGAAGCACTCAAATGATTCACAGCAAAGAAATCTAATTATCTTCCTCCGAGCTATTCCCTGGTGGACCCTTCAATTAATTGGAAAAATATTAACCTTCAAAGGTCAAAACTTCACTGTATCTAATTGTAACACACCTTTACTTTTTTCTCATGATTCCCCCCTCTTTTTTAGAAAAAGGTAAAAAAAATCAATTGCACAGACAAGATTAAGAGGATCAGAGGGTGTGCAGGTTTTCTGGAAAATGAAAATAAAGCAAGGATTATATATCAGCATTATGCTGAAGCCTGTGACTGTTCAGTATTAACACAAATATACTTTGCTCACTGCCAGTCACTGCAGCTTCGAGAAAAGAACTAAAATTCTGCTAACCTGAAATTATTCTGTGCCGCATGTACAATATCTTATTTATTTCAATTAATCAGGCTGACAAACTTTCAATCCATGAGCCACTCTTGGGCTGCCAGGGGGTTCAATTTGATCCATGATGCAATTTTTCAAAAGCCACATCCACCTGCCAATCAGCTGGCATCACCCTGATGTCAGCAGATGGGCGGGGTTCAATTCCCCATTGGCTGCATGCACCAGTTCCCCACAAAAGAGGAACAGGGGCATAGTGAGTGCTAAATTCTGCTCTGACCCTTTGCAGAGAGCACAACTGAAGCTGCTCCTCATCAGCTGGTTGTCAAAGATTTCAATCATGCCAGGAGTTGCTTCAAAGTGTAGTATGGGACTATTTCAAAGTTTGAGCATCTGTTTTTCAGGGGTTAAAAACGCAGTGTAGAGCTGTTTTCAAAATTGCTCTCATACTAAAGTTTGAAGTCCTGATGCATCAAGTAGGTTGTGTTTATTCACCCCTCGATGCTGATGACCAGATAGCAGAATTCAGTGTGCGGTTGGGAGCCACCACAAAAAAATACTGAACATTTCATATTGCATGTGAATTATTATTTTAATTGGAATGTAACTGTATTAAATTAGACGTTGGAAGCAGAATTAAATAAATGATCAAATCTGTAATTCTAGCATGTGGGGCCCCACAAAATTATACAGCTGGAACGTTGATAAATTGATATTTAATATTTGATTTGGTATTGTGATTTGATATGGATATAATGAGGCTTAATTTGGATTATTGTAATTGAAAACTAATAAAAAATATTATTTAAAAAATGATGAACATTTGGAGAAGATTCTGCATGGTGGCTTCCTCTTTGTCAACTGACGGTGATGAGAAATTGAACACAAATTTTATCAGAAAATATTTTCTGAGAATTTTTTGTTTATGATAAGGAATACCTGGGAAGGAGGATTTTAATCTTTTACCAGCCCTTCCTCACACTAAGGTCCCAGTGCAGGTTGCAACATTTTCAATGACAACATTAAAAACAGTTTTTAAAATTTAGAATTACCTCTCCCCCCCCCAAAAAAAAAAAATCACAGGAAATCATAATAGGGTAGATTCTGAAAATATACATCTCAGGTGTCAAAACCCAGGGTCAAGAGTTGTGTATTCAGCATTCAGTAACAGTAGTACAATGAAAATACCAGACACACCTATCTGGGAAGAGACTTCCACAACTTTGGGACTGTGACAGAGTTCCCTTTCCTGGATTACCATCACCCAGAGTTTCTGAGGGTAGCTAAACTACCACGAGAGTCCCCTCAGCGGATCTTAACACTTGGGAAGGAGGTGGCCTTTCAGAGCAGGGCCGTCTTAAGCATATCCGGCACTGTGGTGCAAAAATCCCTCCAGCGGCCCTGCCCCCCATTTCCCAGAGTTGTTGACCTTTTCCCAAGCCTCTGCAGGGGTTGCTCTCCTCCTGCGGAGGCTTGGGAAGGAAGCTGCACAGCCGCCAGCCATATAGTTGGCAGGGCACAGCTTCCTTCCCAAGCCTCCGCGGAAGGAGAGTGATCCCTGCAGAGGCTTAGGAGGCAAACTGCATGCCCACCAGCCATATGGTTGATGGGGCACAGCTGGTAGTCCTGCAGGGAAAGGGGAGGCCGCCGGCAAAGCTCCGCAGCTCCCCCACTCGCTGGGGCACCCCTGAGAGGCCAGCGCCCTGGCGCAACACACCACTAAGCCCTACGGGAAAGACGGCTCTGTTTCAGAGAGTTGGGACTTGAGTCCTTTAGGTCTTTAAACACTAACATGAACACCTTAAATTGAGTCTGGAAAGGAACTGGCAATCAATGCAGCTGCCTGAAAATGGGTGGTATGTAATCTGAATGGTTGCTGCATTTAGGGCTTATCTGTGCTTGGCAATGTGGTGGAGCATGTTGCTGGATATTTGAAGGATGGTGGTGGTGGTAATATTCACCCACAGTTTGGAAGGAGCCTGAAAAAGCATGTTTGCAAGGGGGGGGACTGTCTGTAAAAAAACACTCAAATCTCCTTAGCTATAATCGCCACCTTGGCAGAGCCAAGTTTTAGTACCCTTCCCCTCCTGTTTCATATTGTGGCTCCTTGTAAGGTTTGCAACATTTTGTTTTAGCATTAATCATCTAGAAGTTATGCCTTTAGAGTAGGTCATCTCCTTGTCAATGAAATTTTAACACACTGTGAGGCTTGTACGGAAATATCTGTGAAATGGCAGTAAAAATCCTTGTCAAGCAGAAGGTTACTTAGCAACTAGATAACACTCCAGTCTCCTCCTCTGCCATAGCTCCCCATCTGCCTAATAAGCCACTCTGGTTCTGACATATTTATTCGTGGGGGAAGTCACGGAAGAGAATGGGTGTATCTTCATACATAAACACGTTCTAAAAATGCTTGCGTTTTGCCTTCAGAGAAAGGGAATTGAAGATGGTAATGTCTGGAAACCATACATCTTCTTTTTCTTCAATTAGTTCATAGCTCTAGTCCACATATGTTCATAGGGCTTTCTCTATAAATGGTTGGGATTTGTTTTCCCCCTCTGATTTTATTTTGGGATGGTAGGTTGTAGGCTGAGCCTAGTCCATGCCAGGGAATTGTTGGCCCGCGTCCCCAGATCCGAAGAGAGAGCAAAAGAAAGCACCAGGAAAGATCCTTCTTTGGAGGAAAGCAGTTTATTATCTGTGCACAGAGACAGCCAGCAGAATAACTTCTGGAAGACTGGCTGCAAAGAGATACGCACCTGCAAAGTTTCTTATACTTTTAGAGCAGCCCTCTCCCCCAAACTTCCCCAAAACTTCCCCAATCAGCTGGCAAGTTTTCAACTTATTTCCTTATATGGCATGGCATGTCTATATTGCTAGCCCTCTAAGCACTCCCCCCTCCCTATTTTCCCTATACGTGTCTTTCTGCTGGCTAAGCATCCCCTCCTCCCATCTTCTTCGTATGTGTCTTTCCTATCTTGCATTACTGAAGCAGGAAAAGCAAGGCAGGAAATGGCCTCTAGCCTGCCTGGTCAAATTTAGCAAGCAGCTGTGGATTCTGCTCGCTGCTTGACCACAATTGCAGAAGTAAGCTTGGTGCAGAAATTCACTATGTGCAGGTAGTATTGTGATTAACCCTTCCTTCTCCCTTCACTCCCTCCTCTTCTTATGAACAACCTAATACTTAGGTTCGTTCTGGGGTAGGGGTCTATATTCTCTCATCATAGCGATAACCGTGGGTCCTAGTTTTCCTTTTACAGCTGAAGGGCCCACTGATACTCGTGTTCAACTATTTCCTGGGCCTCAGGGGTACCTTCCACCTTTCTGCTGAGGCACCTACTATATGGAGCAATTTCCCTACAATCCCTTGTGGGTGGACTGGGCTCTCGTGTTGTCTCTTCAAGATATTATACCCAAAAGGGGCTCCTCCCTCTTCATATATCAGCATGCACCCACATGAATATGTCCACCCCTGCAATGGCCTGATACTTGGGGTGACTATATCAAGGGGTTCTGGATCCAATACCAAAAGTCCTATTGGTGCCTCTGAATTTACTGGAGAGCAAGTTTTTACGTTGGGGACGCTGCCCGCGGGCGCCCCTCCCATCCAATTCTTCAGCCGTGCGTAGAGGTATCAGCCTCCGGAGTGACACCAGCAGGGCGGTTGTCTACCGGGTGCCTGGAGATGGTCAGCCGAAGGGAGTTCTCTGGATCTGGTGTTACTGTCCAGTCAAAAATGGCTTTCTTCACTCGAGTATGGTGGACCCACGGGGTGATGCCAGCAACCTTCACAGCAGTAGGTGTAGAAAGTAGCACAGTGTAGGGTCCCCTCCAGCAGGGCTGTAGGGGGGCTCGTTGCCAGTCTTTCACCCACACTTCGTCACCTGGCTCGAACTGATGGAACGATTCAGTTAACACACATGGGGTGTGAGCCTGGGTCCACCTGTTAAGATAAGAGAAAACTTGGGAGAGTGACTGTACATAGTTATTCAATTGCACATCTTGGCTAGCATATGGAGTTAACATTCTAACATATGGAACTGGTCTCCCAAACATAACTTCAAAGGGTGACAAGTGGGTCCGTTTTGACGGGAGACTGCGGACCCTGAGTAACGCCAAGGGCAACATGGTCACCCAATTAGACCCGGTTTCCTGTGTCAGCTTGGACAGCTGATTCTTTAGAGTCCTGTTCATTCTCTCTACTTTTCCAGAACTCTGGGGTCTATAAGCACTATGCAGCTTCCAGTTGATCTGGAGCGCTTTTGCCAGTCCCTGTAGGACTGCATGAACAAATGCTGGTCCATTGTCAGATCCTATGGACCTCGGCAATCCATAGCGAGGGATGATTTCCCTAAGCAGGCACCTGGTTACTTCAAATGCCTTTTCAGTCTTTGTGGGCCATGCTTCGACCCATCCGGTGTAGGTGCACACTGCTACCAGCAGGTAGCGGTGCAGTCCACAACGGTGTAATTCAGTAAAGTCCACGACAAGATCTTCCATAGGTGCAGTTCCACTGTGCTGAATCCCTGGGGGAGCCAGTGGTCCGGCTCTGGGATTATTCTTTTGACACAGCAGGCATTTCCTGGAGATCTGGGCTGCCAGTTGGTAGAGGTGGGCTATATAGAAGCATTTCTCCAGCTGCTTGGTTGTAGCATCTGGTCCGATGTGGGTTGAATCATGGTATCTCTGAGTAACCTGCTGAGAAAGGGACTCTGGAATCCATATCCTGTTATCAGGGGTAAGGTACCATCCTTCTTTGGACAACGTCAACTCCTGAGCGTCTGCAGTGTCCCTTTCCTGCTTCGTGTAAGCTGGCTTGTCAGCGGTGCTTAAAATCTCTTCTGGGACCAGTGCTCCAATAACCGAGGCGGGGGCCAGTTCTTGGGCTGCTTCCTTGGCTACTCTGTCTGCCAATCGGTTTCCTCTGGCCACTTCCCCTGGTCCAGTCTTGTGTCCATAACAATGGATAACTGCCACTGCCTCAGGATGCCATGGCGAAGTAACCGTTCCAAATGTACCCATACTCCTTCCGCAGCTCTTCGGGGGATAGGATATTGGTTCACAGCCACAGGGTTGGCGAATGGCTTGGGCTTGACTATTATAGGTGGGATGTTCTTTGCCATTCCGGGTGGGTTGCTTTCTGCCCATACACCAGGATTAACTTCTTGCAGGAGGTCTTCTGGAATAATCCCCTCCTCTTCTTTTATCATCATTAAGCGCCAGTGTTCCCTCATGGGTACCTCTAAGGAGAACTCTCCTGCTTGCCCTGTAGTCATTGTCACTTCTCCTGTCGGTTGGAAGGAAATCTGGGCTTGCAATTTTGATAGCAGGTCTCGGCCCAATAATGGGATGGGACACTCTGGTATATACAAAAACTTGTGTTGGACCACTTGGCCGCCCAGGCGACAGGCAACAGATTGCAAAAAGGGGGCTCTTTGTGATTTGCCTGTAGCTCCTATTATGTTAATTGTTTGCTTGGTGGGCTTGGACACTGGTACTGGCAAAACAGAGTGGGCGGCTCCTGTGTCAACCATGAAGGGGATGGTTCGGTTCCCTGTTTGTATTTTGACCATGGGCTCACGGGAACCTAAATCAGTTGGGCCCGGTCTGTCCTAGTATTCTTCCTCCTCCTCTCTCACGCTCATCGCGGTGGGCTGTCTTTGGGCTGGGGGGTGCCAGGGAGGTCCTTGTCCACGTCCTCTACCCCTGCCTGCATTTGCCGATGTCCAGGGTCTCAGTTCCTGTCCAGGTCCCACGGGGATTGGGCCTGGGATTCGCTCTCCTCGTCCTCTTCCTCCTGAGCGAGCCTGTGGGCATTCTCTTTTCCAGTGCCCTTCCTGCCGGCATATGGCGCACTGGTTCCTCCCCAGACGGCCTTGCCCTCCTCCCCGGGCACTTCCTCTTTCCTGAGGGGTGGGTGCGGTAGCCTGTAGCGCCATCAACTTTTTCGCTTGATACTTCTCCTTTTTCTTTTGTGCCTCTTCCTCCCTCTGGTTATAAGTGGTTTGAGCCAGTTCTAACATCCACTCAAGGGTGTGGCCCATGAACTCCTGTGTTTTTGAATTTTTCGGCGGACATCGGGCGCCGCTTGGGCCACAAAGGCAGCTTTTATGATAGGGGCGTTGGCAGCCTCATCTGGGTCCACAGGAGTATACTGGCGGTAGGCTTCCTTCAGGCGTTCTAAGTATGCTCCTGGGGCCTCTTCGTTTCCCTGCACTACCTCTCTACCCTTCACAAAGTTGGTGGGTTTCCTAGCTGCCCTTCTCATACCATTTAATACATTCTGGCGGTAGGTAGTGAGGATGTTCTGGCCACCAGTAGTTTGATAATCCCAATTCGGTGTGTTTTCAGGATATCCTGCTGTCATAGCTGGATCCTGCACTCCCTGCGCTCTCATGTGTGTTCGGGCTTCAGCATGAATTCGCCTAGTCTCTTCTGTGGTTAGCAGCGCATCCATTAAATACTGCACATCATCAAAAGTGGGATTATAAGGTTTAAAAATCCCTTCAAACAATTTTATGATTTTCGCTGGGTTTTCCTCGAAGGAAGGATTTTGATTTCTCCAATTACAGACATCTGCACTTGAAAAGGGTATATGCTGGACCGTGTAGGTCCGTTCTGCTGCCGCTCCACCAGCCCCTGGAGGTCCCGGTGGGTCATAAACCCTACGTAGAGGCATCACTCCGGCCCCACCCTTTTTCTGCGCCTCATGGGACTTATGGAGGGCCGCCCTGGTTGCTGCTTCTACCCATTCCTTCTGCCATTTCTTCCCTTGTGTTGAGGAGCATCCTGCTGCAGCCAACACATGGGGGCTAACATCCACTTTTTCCGCATAGGGTTGTACATACTGTTGCAATCTCAAAGACTGATACTGAGTCCACTCTTTTCCCTTCTTTGCTAACTCAACCAATCCCTTTACAAATTCCTCATCATCCTCTTCTTCCTCTTCTGATTCATCAGCCTTGGGGGGTTTGGGCTGGGGGCTAGCTCCTCCCGGTGCCTGGGGACCTGGGTCCAGGGGATTTGCTGGAGGGGCAGTTGGTGGAGCATAGAGTGGAGGTGGTTTAATGACTTCCCCCTCCTCATCTTCTGGGTCTGGTATCACTGGGGGCCTTTCTAACTTCCCTGCCGGTCGAACTGCACAAACTGTACTTTGTGGGGCGTCGCCTCGGCAGGCTTTCAACCACGGTGGGTTCTTTTCTACATTGGTTTTCCAAGTAGAGATGTAGGGGATCTGGTCTGGGTGGACGTTCAAGATGTTCTGGTATAATGGGCTGACTAGTTGCAAATCAAAGCTCCCTTCCGAGGGCCAATTAGTTTATTGGGGCCAATCAACTTCACACAATGTCCTCATCCTCTGTCTTCTCAATTTGATTCCCCAATCATCATGCTTTGTGGCTGCTTTCCAGTTAGCTAAAAAGCATTCCAGTGGACTACATTGGCTTGCCCCAGACCCCATTTTCAGATACTCCGCTCCTAACAGGTTGTAAATTCTTTCACACTCCACACACTACAGCCCTACAATCGCTCGGCCAAGGGGGACACTAATCCCTGGCCCACACTTGACAATTCAGCCACTGGAGTATCTGACATGCAACATACAACATACAAAACACATCAATATAATTTCAACATGCAACACACTAAACACACCAAAATAATTTCAGCATGCAATACACAAAACACACCAAAATAATTTTCCCCTCTGTTCCCCTTTTTACCAAACCTTACTGGCGGCACTCTACTGCCAGGCCAGTTCCCTTCCTGGCGGCACTCTACTGCACGACCAGTTCCCTTCCTGGCGGCACTCTACTGCACGACCAGGTGAGGCTGATCAGGCCTCCCTCTTTTCCCTTGGGCCCACGCCCTTTTCCCTTGGGCCCACGCCCTTTCCCTTGGGCTTACCGTTTTCCGCTGCGGATTCCCTTCCCTGGCCAGTCCTCTTTCCTCCCTCGACCGGGGTCCTTGCTCCGGAGCGGTGTGGCTGGCTCCCCCCACAAATTAGCAGGGTGCGCGTGGAGCCTGCAATCGCTGATCCGAGCTGTCCACCTGAGGTCGAGCCTGGCTCTCCCGGCCCTCTGGGGTGGGGCAGATTCCCGGTCAGGGAACCAAGATGTAGGCTGAGCCTAGTCCATGCCAGGGAATCGTTGGCCCGCGTCCCCAGATCCGAAGAGAGAGCAAAAGAAAGCACCAGGAAAGATCCTTCTTTGGAGGAAAGCAGTTTATTATCTGTGCACAGAGACAGCCAGCAGAATAACTTCTGGAAGACTGGCTGCAAAGAGATACGCACCTGCAAAGTTTCTTATACTTTTAGAGCAGCCCTCTCCCCCAAACTTCCCCAAAACTTCCCCAATCAGCTGGCAAGTTTTCAACTTATTTCCTTATATGGCATGGCATGTCTATATTGCTAGCCCTCTAAGCACTCCCCCCTCCCTATTTTCCCTATACGTGTCTTTCTGCTGGCTAAGCATCCCCTCCTCCCATCTTCTTCGTATGTGTCTTTCCTATCTTGCATTACTGAAGCAGGAAAAGCAAGGCAGGAAATGGCCTCTAGCCTGCCTGGTCAAATTTAGCAAGCAGCTGTGGATTCTGCTCGCTGCTTGACCACAATTGCAGAAGTAAGCTTGGTGCAGAAATTCACTATGTGCAGGTAGTATTGTGATTAACCCTTCCTTCTCCCTTCAAGGTCTCCTACCTCTCAGTTTGAGGAAGCTCAGTTTGCTTCCTCTACATTCACTGGGAGTGTTGGCATTATATTATAAGCCCGTCGCAAGATTCTATTAGGGATGGCAGAATCATTTGTTAATGAGAATTGTGTGGCCGGTGGCGTTGAATCAGTTGTGGCCGTTGTGTGCTCATGCCCCAGGCAGGACCAGGGACTTGGCACAGAGCATAAGCAAAACCCAATGCACCAACCCAACCCCTGCTGCTGCCGCCGCCACTGGGCAAGTGTAGCGCATGGAAGGTTCACAGGGCATGCTGTGCTGCCTGCCCGCCCCCCCACACAGGGGGAAGCCTTTATAGACACCGAGAGACAACAGGACTGCTTAATGTGCCCCGACTACAAAATTGTAGATATCGAGAGAGATATAGTTGCTCCAGCAGCATTTCTCTTTTTCTTGTATCCAAAAATGCAAGAAGGGCTTTTACACTTCCCAGAAGCTCGGCTTTGCCCTTGCTGGTCTTGGAAGGATCCTTTAAAAAAGTCCCATATGACCAGAGAATTTGCGCCTGTCCATTGGGGGATACAGGGAGCCCTGAACACATATTTTTTAGATGTCCCTTTTATGACGAGGCATATAGAGAAACCATTGACCCCCTGCTGGTGAGGCTTGCTGACCTCCTGGTAAAGCAAAAATTCGATCTTCTCCTGTAAGGCAAAGACCACAAGATGACCCAGATCATCGCCAGATTCTGCGCACAGATCTGTAGGTGCAGACCATCCCCTGATTCAATCTAGTTTGTTAAGAAAATTCCCAAACTCAGATCCACAGGTGACTCTGGGTCATTTCTGTAAGGTAGTCTATCTTAAAGTTTTTGTGTGTTTATACGCCTATCACACTTTTAAACTTAAAATCCATTATTGTATATTTTTAAAAATGTTTGTTTTGCTATTGGGATTGCAATTCCATTTGTGTTTCACAAGCTGGTCTCTGACAGTAATAAATTTTAATGTTAATATTCAGGGGGAAGCCTAACCAGCAGACACGGTCCTTAGTGACTGCCAATCAGCGAGAGGGCAGGGGTGCAGTGGCAAGACCCCTGGTGGCAGGCAGGGTGGGGTCTAGCTCATACCCCCTCAAAAACATGCACCTGAGTTTATGGCCCCCCTGGCCCTCCCCATGCTACACCCCTGTGTGTGGCTGCCATAGAAAGCAAGACCCATTGGTATAGAGGATTGCTGGCCATTTACCAATCCTGCATAAAGTATGCACACTGTAGCTCCAGCTCTCAGTGGTTCTTCTATCTCCCACCAATAAAAGCATGTTGTCTTGCTTTTCTGTTTATGTTGCTCAGCAGTAACAGCTACTGTGGTGGACTGGGTCCTGGAAGACCAGGGTTCAAGTCCCCACTCAGCCATGAAGTTTATTGGGTACCCTTATTGCACCAGTCACTGCCTCTCAGTCAAATCTACCTTGTTTGGGGAATTAAATGAGGAGGGAGAGAATCATATGCCTCACATTGTGCTGCTTAGGGGAAAGGTGGAATATAACCGCTTGTTGATCAAATGCAACCCAATGAAACACAGCTGACTTTTGGAATTTTTGAAATGCACTTCTCTAACAAAACAAAAAGGGGACGCGGGTGGCGCTGTGGGTAAAAGCCTCAGCGCCTAGGGCTTGCCGATCTAAAGGTCGGCGGTTCGAATCCCCGCGGCGGGGTGCGCTCCCGCTGCTCGGTCCCAGCGCCTGCCAACCTAGCAGTTCGAAAGCACCTCCGGGTGCAAGTAGATAAATAGGGACCGCTTACTAGCGGGAAGGTAAACAGCGTTTCCGTGTGCGGCTCTGGCTCGCCAGAGCAGCAATGTCACGCTGGCCACGTGACCCGGAAGTGTCTGCGGACAGCGCTGGCCCCCGGCCTCTAGAGTGAGATGGGCGCACAACCCTAGAGTC